CCCCCCCCAGTAAAATGATTTGGGAAAAAAAAGATTAAAACTTAAAAATAACCCACATCTTAAATATTATTTAGGTATAGATTGTCAGTGATATGTGGCTTCTTTTGTCTCTCAATTCTGTAGTTGTGTTCACCATTAGCTAGAATATGAATTATATTTGTGGTTTAATGAAATTGCTGAGCACTGCAACCTGTTCTCTATATTTTCTATAAATTATATTTCTTAGACGTTTACTAGGAACTTTTTGTCTTTCTACATTCTCTAGGATGCACAGACAATTAGGACATTAACTCTCATCTCAAAAACCATTCAAACTTTGGGAAGCTGGGGCAGTCTGTCCAAAAGCAAGGTAAGTCTTCTACGCCCTCACCTGCTACCCCTCACCAACCACTTTTCTGAATGTTCTTATATCCCATGATCCCTTCTCCCTCTTTCCCTCTATGCAAATTAAAAATAAAACAAAAGTGAAACAAAGGTAATAGCTATCCTTTAAATAGAAATGGCATCTAAGTCACCTGTTAAAGAGGTAACTCAACTGATACCCTTTAAATTAATATTACCTGTAAGAGGGGAAGAGAACCTAAACCTAGTAAAAACATGGTTTTTGTATCTGTGCCATAGCATCTAACAGCTGTTAAAAAAAATTGGCTTCAAACTCCATTGGAAAAAATGATCGAGTCCATTTTAGTCCATTGTATTGTTAGTTCTGTAACAATAAATCTTGTATTCTTTTCATAGTCAAGCTTCAAAGAGACATTCATGTGTGAATTTTTCAAAATGTTTCAAGAAGAAGGATATATGGTAGCAGTAAAAAAGGTATGATCTTTTAAAATCTGAAAATATTAGGCATTTCTTATCATATAATATTTGGTGGAGTAACTATTTTGTTTTGAACACCCAGAATGCAGAAATATACTTTGTCATTGAATTATTTTGCCCCAGCCTTTTTATATTTTATGTGAAACAGTATGTAGATGTCAAATCCTGATTTTAGAAAAGGACAATGTTTAAACTGTCCTTTAAATAAGAAAAAGTTCTACTGGCCAAAATAACAAAAGAGCAAGAAGAAAGATGCAAGTGCCACAATTAAAAAATTTAATGGGTTGTGTTAAAATAGAACCAACTACAATTAAAATGAAATAACAAAATACTGTGAAGAACAGTGTCCAACAAATTTGAAAGCCTACAAGAAATTGACACATTTCTAGAAACATCAAGCCCCCAAATCAAACACACTAGCATAGAGTCGGTTCCAACTTGTAACAGCTCTATCGGGCAGAATAGAACTGCTCCCTAGGATTTCCAAGCCTCATCTCTCTCCTGCAGAGGAGCTGAGAGTTCAGACTCCTGACCCACACATAATGTAACACACTGTGCTCCAGGGCACATTACCGACCTAAAGTAACACCCAATGAAGTAGAAATTTTAAACATCTATCACAAAAGAAGGTATTCAAGGGGTCATTAAAAAAAAAAA